GGAGTTCACTGCCTGGAGACCCCCGCCCCTTTTCCATGCCTCCAGCTACAAAACAATTCAATTGTTTTTTGTTTTGTTTTTTCTGTCCAAAGTAAAAACCTCAGCTAGCTCTGCCAAAAAAAAAAAAAAAAAAAGAAAAAAGAAAGAAAGAAAAGAAAAGATATATTCTGAAATGGAAACACTTTGACAAAATTGCAATCATTTGACATAAACTGTTTTATTGACTAATTATTTTATAAATTTTATGACATATTAACATCTTTCAACAAGGTCATCTTGGCATAATCCCAGTAGGAGTATTTGGGTTTGGCCATAACCAGACTTCTTTCCTGCCCCCTCCCCAACCCCCTATTTGTGGAAAATATACTCAAATGCACTATTTCAGTTACCAAAACTTACCAAAATAAACCTTTATCAGAGAAAATGGATGCTGACTTTGGATCGTGAACCAGGACCCAAGAAGCAGACTACAGTTTTATACGGAGGGGAGGAACAACTGTAATTCCCATCAGGACGCCTAAGAATCCCGTTTGTTTAATGATCCACAAAGTAGTCATTGCCGGTCTAGCTAGAAGCCTCTGTGCTGGTATGACAAATGATACACATCCTACCTCCCCCACCACCCACCCAGATTCATTACCCATTAATCTTGGCACCCCAGCCTAGAAGTGACCCCGCAAAACCTTCTCAACACAAACCTGGTAACTATGATCATTTCACCATCATCATTCACTATGAATTATATTTTCCGTTCTTGTCTTAGCTGAAGGAGAAAACTACCAAAACCCAATCCAATCATCAGAAATAAAGCCAAGTACTGAGTGGGCAGAACTAGTCAGCTGATGCAAGTAGGGTAAATGACTTTATGATATTATCTACCAAATGTTTCTTAGATGAAAGATAAAACATTTAATGGGCTCCGAAAACTAAATTGCATTACCCTTTCATTTCCATCTCTATGATTGATGTTGAGAGGTCAGTGCTAGTGACCTGGTCAGTAAGATATTCCATCTGTAGACTTTGAGTTTAGATCCTAAGTCTAAACTGAGTCTCTATTTTATGAAAACAGTCTGTGAGCTGTATATCACCTAATAATATCACCCTGCTATGTGAGCTGTATATTACCTAATAATCCAGGTGCCTGCCTCAACTCAATTCTCTGGCATTGCATAGACTCCAGCCTAGCATGATACTGCAAGAGACTAGGGATGAACTAGGAGATTCCTCTGTTTCTGTAAGCCTCACAATCATTAGCCTCACATGAGTATCACTGTTAAGTCAATATCTGTTATTCAGGTAAATAATACTTTATGTATGTAATAATACTTTATGCATAATACCAGTCTAGAACTTTTGTAGGATGCTGAGATTGATTAAAAAAAAAAAAAAAAAAAAGCTCAGCCTTAATAGTGCCTATTGAGCTAGAAATGGGGTTACCAGGGCACCATCTTGTGGAAATTAAATCAGCACAAATAGATGTGGAGCCAGGCAAACTTCACACTACCCAGGGTTTCCTTTAAAAATTGTCTTAACTACATTTGACGTTTCTAGCTGTTTCTGGCTTTTGTTTTTAGTCAATGTGTACTTTATCCACATCTATATAGAACAGAGGAAAAATGCTCATATAGTTTCTTGATCAACAGCATGATTAGGCTGAACATTTAATGAAATGTGGAATTGTCATATAAACTTATAATTTAAAGGTGAAAGCCATGTTGAACTCGATGAATTGATTTCTGTTGATCATTATTTCAAATGACGTTATTATCTCTAAACTTGCTACCTTAATATTACTACATCCTCTTTCCATATCTCAGAATTATTTTGTCTTGAGCAGTATATTTTCCAGTTTAAACTGCCTTACCAAAGAGCATGCTGCAAACACAAGAGTGTTTGTATCAGAAGTTTCAGTATCTTGAAATTGGAATGTAGAGTGATTCATGAGTTTTGCATCAATTATTAAACAGTCATAGATGAAGATATGCAGAGACGGATGGGGCAGTAAAGTATTCCAGTTATACCTACTGGCTTAGCAATGATAAATGAGTCAGGAAACATGAAAGTTCAAAACAAGTATTAACTTGAGCTGCCATGGCATATTCTCTGAAGGGAAGTAGACAATAGTATGATATAAACAGGTTCATGTACAGAGCAGTTGGCTAGTAGAATTAAAATAAAGGTAAGGTCTCTGCAAGAGGACTAAGGAATTTCAGAATCCTGCCATGCAAATCACCCTTTCTCTTACAAGGTTCTTGAGGGAGACATAGCATTGAAGAATAATAACACTTGGAAAACAAAGGAAATATTTTTATTACCTGGGACAATGCCTAATATTCCATAATGCAGAATTCTAATAATGCTGGCTTAAATCATGTGACTTTGACTTGCACTTGAATCCCGCCTTGTTTTGACTTGCATGGACCTTAAAGTGAGAGTAGAGACATTTTCAGAGTCTAGGAAGAAGGAAAATGTATGTGTCATCCCCTGGGAAAGCAAGTGTTGTTGTCCTTGGAGTGGCATCTTCTTGGCAACTGAGCCAAGAGCTCACATTGGGAAAAGCTACTTAATTTTTTTCTGATACCCAACTTCACCAAAAGGAAAGGCCCATCTTTAGTTCTCATTGGTAAGGCCCTTGCAGCCCACCCAGAACTCTAGTGTTCTGCATTAGTCACTGTCCAGTGAAAGGGCATAGACTGCATGTAAGCAGAACCTTAGAACGTAGCTCTAAGACGAGAGCTGGGCATTGTAAACCTCAGGCCTGGTTCCCACCACCCTCTCATTATTTCCTGCTACTCTTTCTTTCTGAGAAATGTTAGTATTTGAGCAGTTCAAGAGCCTTGAACTGGACCAGCCTTTGTACCTGACCAAAGACCAAGGTGAAAAGCAATAGCCATGCCTGCTTTAGGCTCTACCCAAATTGGGACGCCCCATGAATAACCCTTTGACTTTTCACTCATTGAAAAGTCAGAAGCAGTGGTTAGTGTTAGAAGCATAACTTAGCACTGGTGCTTTCAAGCAGGGCAATCTGAGGCAACTGCAAATGTTAAGTAGATGCCTTCTCTCCTCTAAACATGGGAGTGGTTTGCTAAGATGGGCAAACTGTAACAAAGGAAAGTGGTCAAATAACTCACTTGAGGTGTCTGACTTTCTCACTGGCTGGACTTTCTTTCTTCTCAATTCATGGGCATTGGTTACATAAATGGACCTTCTAAACTTACATCTGGAACTTAGTAACCATATTGCTTATTTTGTGTTTCCTTAAGGGTAGCATTCACTGGAGGAGCCTTCTTGAGAAAATGAACTAGATTTCTAGTTAAGAGCATCAATATTGGAATGAGATAGCCTATTCCAAATGAAGACTCTGTACACTAGAAGTCATAAACTGATAACCCACAAATCATATTCAGCCCACAGATATGATTATTTTTTCATTCTCATGGCATTGAAAAAAATACTTCCCAATGTATAAACTTTAAGAGATTTTTGCATAAAAGTCTTGATTTCCAGCTTCCTATATATACTTAAAAAATCAAAACATCAGGCAATACATGGCAATACAGGCAATCATGGCCCCAATCAGCTTAAGCTAAATAGCCACTTGCCCCTTTAAAGGAGACATACGTAGTCTTTCTAGTTCACTTGTGTTACTTTGTGGCCCTGTAGGGCTTTGAATTTGCTATCTATGAGGTCAATCATCTAAGAAGTCAAAACAAGAAATCAAGAATTGTTCTTTTAAATGTGTCTAGCTTGAAAGTGACCAAGGTTTATACCTTATTTTTGTTAACTTCTGCACAATGAATGACCATAAGGAGCCTTTTCATACATGGAAAAGAACAGTTATATGTGAAATGGAGAATTTTACACTACTTACCTGAACAAATCAGGCATACAAAGAAAATCCTGAAATGATGATATAAGAGTAAGATTTGAGATCAGAATTACTCAGGGGTAATTGCCTTAGTTTTCCACCTCACTGTTTCCCCTTTGCTTTCCTTACATAGACATTACCTTCAGAATGTTCCTGTCAAAGGCCATAGTCATAATTCCCCCGCCTCTTTTTTTTTTTTTTTTTTTTTTTTTTTTTTAACTCATTTGCACTCTTGGTAGCAATTGTTGGAGCCCTGCAGGGGAATAATTGTGGGGGAATTAACCTCTGACATTTTTCTAAAAATAGCCCTAATAAATCCAATCATAGGTAATTTACCTGTCCATGTTCCTCCAGGGGTAACCAGCATGGAAGAAAGACTTGGCAGGCTGGCATTCCGTCAGCAATTATCTGTGATCTGAGTTCCTGGTGCCTGTGCGTTTTCTCTGATTAGAAATACAGAGTACAAATTGCCCTCACTTCTCTGCCCCTGTGACCTTGTGTTCTCAGCACCCTTCTCCTGGGGTTGAAATAAGGCACGCTCTTCCAAAGGATGCATTGGGCTCACAAAAAAAGAAGGGGCACGGGCCAAGCTGGAGCATTCGTCAGTTCCTTCCTTGAATTATTGACTGACAGAGTTTTCCCAATGATTTCTTTGTGCTCTGTTCCTCCATTTTCCATGGCTGAGCTTCAAACATCCTAACCCTGCTTCATCAGAGCCCCCAGGACTGATTTGAATAGCCACAACTGAAGCCTGTGTGGGGAAGATTCTTGGTGTAAAGGCCATGGGTGCATGAAGGGTGTGTGGTTGGTAGAAATCATCAAAGAAAATCACCATTTCCTTCAGCCATCATGAAGTTAATTTTCTCTTACTTAAAAAAGGGTCTAAATGTGCTTTTCCCTTTTATTCTCTCCAGATGTTCCAGGAGACCACAGGTCAGTGTGGGCATCTAGGAAATTTACTTCCCAAGTGCCACTTCTGGTGGCATTTAAAACCCAGAACATAATATCCTTGTAAATTCCACTGCAGAGACAAAGCCCTAAGCCCTTAAATGCACAGAAAAGTATGTCTATTATCTATCCTTTCAAAGTAAGTGTGCAGTTACTTAAATTGCCTTTGTCTTCTTCTTTGCAGCTGACATTATCTCTACGGTAGAATTCAACCACACGGGAGAATTACTAGCGACAGGGGACAAGGGGGGTCGGGTTGTAATATTTCAACGAGAGCAGGAGGTAAGTGGTGGTGAATGCAAAATGCCCATTTTCTTCTCTTTTTAAAGGAGGCCTCCTACTGTTCTTTAATCCTTATGTGTCGCCCTTAACCTTGCTGCTTTGCTCGAAAACTAAAAACTGCCAAAAAGTCATTAATATCAACAGTTCTACATTCAGACTCATAAAAGCCCTGTAAAAGAGAGCCTTTTCTGGGCATGGCCTTATCTTTCTAAGCCTGGATGTTACACCTTCAAAACAACTTCACTGCTAGCCTGACCTGCAAAATTCCATGGGTGCTTGTAGAGCATAACTCCTCCGTTTTCAGTGGGATCTGTCATAGAGCCATTGAAATTCAGTCTCCCTTGATTTCAGGTGCTGCCAGAATATGTAGGAGAAAAAAACACACACACACAGTTTATTTGCCAACGGATGTGAAGAGGACAACTTGGGACAGGAGAGAAGAAAATGATAGCTCGCCTCACCAAAGGGGTTAAAGGCCACAAACTGGCATCTGAGTAAAGCATATGACACACATCACAGTATCACTGTAGGTGACACAGAGGCCCCTGAAGCTGAGTGCTACATATAGGACCATTTCTGAGCAGGAGTTCTAACTTCCAGTGACTCTCATAAACCCATTTCTTCCTGAGACATGGGTTCCACTAGGAATTGTTTCTCTTTTTCATATAAATTGCGTTTTTTGGTGTCTGCTTCTGTTTGTCAGAATGGAATTATGGCCCAATTTGATTTCGTTGGCCTCCCCTGGCATGGTCTTGGAGCTTCCAGCAGGCCAGTCTGTGTTCTAGTAACTCTCCCATCTGCCACTGCCTGCCTCTGAGATTCACCGGGCACTCAGGAAGCGTGAGGGAGGCCCAGTGTGAGAGGAAGGTTTCACAAGAGACTTCCCTAGCAATTTAAAGCCTGCTTTGTGCCTCAAAGCCATTTGCGTTACACCTCCCCTCAAAAAAGGAAAGCCTCATTTAGAGGTGATATATTTGGTAATTGCACATTATTTGCAATTAATTTCTATAAGGGCATCGTAATCCCTCGGGGTTCCGTATAAATTCAAGTGTTCAGCATTAAATCAGGCAACCAGCCTATTCCACTGGCCCTGGAAACACGAAAATGTGGTTGGCAAGTAGAAACTAATAGCTCTTCGTGACCTGGAATTTTTCCTGCTTTTCCAGAGCTGCCTAGTGCTAATTGGTCTGGCACATACTACACACACTTGACAGTCTGATTTGGATGGTAGCAAATCAAAACTCTTATAAATGTATTGTTAAGGTGGACTGGCTCTCTCTGCAAATGAGCAGGATAGTACCAAGTATGTCAGCATTTAAAGTCTTTTGAACACTGATTTTCAAACCTCCTTTTCCAGCTTTTTCTTTAAAAAAAAAAAAAAAAAAAAAAAAAACCAATTAGGTTCGCAGTGATGATAAAGAGGAACCGGAGGAGCTATTTAGCATAAATTACCCAAGGCAGCATGTTGCCAGTAATATTCTGCTCTACATTTTCTGTTAGCTATTTATAGGTTTCACCTATTTTAATTTAGTGAAATATTTGGGAAGCCTGATTCATTAGTGGAATGATGGGGGACACATTTTCTAAAGCAGGGTAGTTTTGTTCAATAAAAAAATAAATGTCAATGAGGATAAAGAACCTGCAATTAAGCATTAAGCTTTGTGGCCAGTCTTGGGATTAAAATGAGCACTAAATCTGAGAAACAAACCCATGTGACATCATCTAGGGCAGACCTGCTTTGACTTCAGTGGGTGAACTCCAGGAGTGAATTCTTAGGAGGCACACAACTGGAGAGTCCGCACAAATACATTTCACACCCAGGGTTCAGCCCTCTCGCTGGTCAGTAAGTTGAGATTTGGGTTTGGATATTTTATATCCACCTAGAAATACACAGTTGGAAATTAACCCTTTTATTAAGAGTCAAACTTTTATAACAAACGTTTAATAAGACTCATATTTGAATTTTTGAGTTTTTCAAAGCCTGCATCTTGAAGCTCTTGGTAATAAGGACCTAAAATACCTGAAATAAAACTTCCCTTTCCGCTTTCCTCTTCTCCTTCTTTCTTTCATATCCTGTTTTTTCTCTTCTCTTCCTTTTTTTTCTTTTTCTTCCCGTTTCTGCAGACCCTTGCCCTTGTGTTTAATTCTCTCATGTATGTAGTCCCTGCTGTTTGCTCATTGCATAATCAGTGCTAGAGGAAAGTCAAGAGGTAAAGTCTCATCGTTCCTTAATGATGCAGATAGCATCCCTGAGCTCCTGTCTGCTTTGTCACTCATGTTGGAAAGAAAAACAGAAAAAAGTAGCAGGGGCATATCTGATGCCCAAATCTGCTCCTTATGAGCTGTGAAACCTAGGGGAAGTCATTTAATATCTGAGCCTCTTTTGTCCATTTCCTTGCCCCGCCTACCTCAGAGATTTCATGAGAATCAGATGAGATCTTACAAGGCCAATGAAAGTCACAGATGCTACAACTTTGTAGTCTCTTTGGGCTCGATGTAAGTATTTACGAATGCCACTGTGGGATGGCTCACTCTGATGGGTGAGTGCACCATCTGTTAGGATGCAAAAAGAAAGTATTAGAACTTCTATTTATATTGATTTTAAAATTTTGTTCTATTTTAATATATTTCTATGTATGTATTATATATACTATATGATAGTACAGAAGTTCATGTGTATAATTTTTTTTTTTCAGAGGTGCTAGTGGCCCTGCCCTCATCCCACCCCCAATGACTGCTAGAAAAAAGAGAGGGTTGGCGAGTTTTACAGTTGGCTACTGTGATTTAATCGTTTGTGTATTTTTTTCCTTTCCTACAGAGTAAAAATCAGGTTCATCGTAGGGGTGAATACAATGTTTACAGCACATTCCAGAGCCATGAACCCGAGTTCGATTACCTGAAGAGTTTAGAAATAGAAGAAAAAATCAATAAAATAAGATGGCTCCCCCAGCAGAATGCAGCTTACTTTCTTCTGTCTACTAATGGTAGGTGGAAGTGATTTTTCCTGTTTGGTATTTTCAGTGATACAGTCGGCCAAACTATATATTTCAATCTCTCTTAACCTCAATTTTCCTTTGAACCGTGTGGGCTGTTGAAAAACTTAGAAATAACATTTGCAAGATGCTTAGCAGAGTGCCTGGCACACCCAGATTAGGCCCTCACTAAATAGTAACTATTGTTTTTTAAAATATTAAATTTATGACCCAATTATGTGAGACCCATTATCTGCAGTTTGCAACTATTGCAGATGATTTTCAGGTGTTTTGGGAATGTGACTTCCTGTCTTAAGATTCACTGAATGTTATTCTGGGAATACATTTCAGGAAACTCAACATGCTGTCTCTGTGAGGTTGGCATATTGAATAGAAGTTATTAATCCCTGAATATATTTTAGGGTCTGCAAAGCAGATGGCTGTGTGTCTCTCTGACAAAAATTAAGTTCTAAGATAGGAGCACAAGGCAAGAAGAGATAGGGACTTTATTAAAAAAAAAAAAAATCAAGAAAGGGTTTCTTTCCCTATCTCCCTCCATACTTAACACCATTTGTTGGATGAAGAGGAGTTGACATAAATAGGTCAGAGAGAGAGGATGTTGGGTATTGAATAGAGAGACAAATTACATAATCACTGGGTAAGTCTTTATACAGTGGAATTACCTAACCTCCAGGTTCTTAAATCCTTGCTAAAAGAAACCATCTAAGCTCAAAACAACTTGGCATAAAGTCACATGTTAAAGGGTGCTAATTGAATAGCATAACAATTAAAAGGATTCATATTTAAAAATTAAACACCCTCTCCCAAGAAAATGAGTTGGAGAATGATTCATTTTATCTCACATGTGAATCTATGAGGAATATACATTTTAATTTAAATCGAGAAGCAAGAAGCAAGGGATTTAAAAAGAAAGGGAAACGTTCATATTTCAAGTGAAAAAATAAAATGTCAATAATGTGATCAAACATACATGAATATTTTTAAAGACTGGAAGGAAATACGACATAAAGTTCATCATGATTAATTTTTGTGCAGTATGGGTAACTTGCCAATTTATTCCTTTTGTCATTTTAATTTATAAAGTTTTTACAATGAGTCTCATATTAATGTCATGGAAAAAAGGGGGAAGTTATTTAATGCATTTGAACGCCAAATCTCTCAAATATAAAGCCAGCATAGAAGTCTAAAAAATTACAATTCGGATGCAACTGGTTTAGGGTTATCCAAGTATATCTCATCTCCTCATGACCAGATCTCTACTCATCTGTTTTTCCAGACTCCAGGTAGTTTGATTCTTTCTCATAACTGTATTTATTGTTCTGTTTACGTTTTGCAATCCTGATTTCTTGGAAGCCAAACCACATAAATTTGTTTCAATTTCTTTCCTTTCACTTTTGCTATTTAAGTTTCACTAACAGGCTTTGCAGATTCAACACTACTCGGAATAAAAGAGACTTATGATGATTTTGACTTACTTCAGGCAGAGGAAAAATGTCTGATTGTCTTCTATAGCTAACTTACTTTATATGATCAAATTTAGCCTATTGATTATTGCATTTAAAACTCAAGGACTTGGCCAGGCGCGGTGGCTCATGCCTGTAATCCCAGCACTTTGGGAGGCCGAGGCGGGCGGATCACGAGATCAGGAGATCGAGACCATCCTGGCTAACACGGTGAAACCCCGTCCCTACTAAAAATACAAAAAAAAAATAAAATTAGCCTGGTGTGGTGGCGGGCACCTGTAGTACCAGCTACTCAGGAAGCTGAGGCAGGAGAATGGCGTGAATCCAGGAGGCAGAGCTTGAAGTCAGCCAAGATCACTCCACTGCCCTCCAGCCTGGGCGACAGAGCAAGACTCCATCTCAAAAAAAAAAAAAAGGAAAAAAGAAAAAAACCTCAAGGACTTATTAACTACTTTGTTGGGGGGGGATGGGAATCAGTGAAATGCAATGAAGATTAATTATATAGCATAATATTCTGTTAATTGAGTTTTTAAATAGTTTTTTGATTAACAAGGATATTATCTTCCCATTTGGGATACTGTTTCATATGCCAACAGCATCTCAAAATGATTCTTCTAGGAAAAATTCCCATGTTCTTATGTAATTTTCTTTTTTATACTAATATTGAGGTTGAGAATCCCCCTTAGGCCAAATAGGTTAACATGCAAAAATTAATGGAAGACAATTGGAATTACTGTATAAAAGAGAAAATGAAGATAGATGATAAGATTGTGTTTAAAAGCTGCCACAAGTGATGATAAACTGCTCAGAGAACCCGCAAGAAGAAAGAAAAAGTCATTACTCATATTAACAGTCACATGTTCCTTAGACTTTTTTATTCACAAAGCTTCAAGACACTGAGTCAAGAAAAATAGTGTGATAATAAAGTCAAGAATGACTCCAGGCAACCCAACCATGGGGAATTGCATTGAATTCACCTTCAATTATCTCTAAGAAAATATACTGCTTATCTTATTATAGTTAGGAACAATTTTACTTTCTGCTAGAATATATTTTCAACCTTACAATTTCAATAAAAAATAAAACCAATTCAATTGTGAATCTAGACCCTCAAATTATTTACCACATAAAAACACATTGTTTTATCTCATTTTCTACTTTAATACCTATAATGAGAGGGGGGATACACTGAATTCGTTTTTCTCACTATGAAACTAGTACATGTTCATTGTAAAAAAAAAAAAAAATACAGAAAAACAAAAATAATAAGTGTTCCCATCCAGAGAGAACAACTGTTAAGTCTTTTAAAGAAAAAAGCAAAAAGACATGAATAAATCTGTTTCTTAACAGAAATATGATATATTCTGCAAACTCTTTTGTAACCAGGTTTTTATTAATATAACACTTAATAACAGGAATATCTTCCCAATTGTTAGTCTAAAATACCATAATGACCACATAGTATTTCCTTGCATGATTCTTCTGTAGTTTACTGGTAAGCCTCCTACTATTAGTCCTTTAGCTGTTAACAAATTCTCACTATTATAAATCATATATACTATGTTATAGTATACATAATACATTCTATCCCTATAAGTATATTTGCAGGGATAGATGTTGGTATAGACAAATATGATTAGGCAAATGCATACTATAAGTATGTCATATTATGTTTACTAAAAACAGTTACATAATTGTATACATAAATATAAAAAAAACACAAAATTTGTGTAATAGATATCTCTAGTGGAATTAAGGGAGTTTTTTTTACCTTTATTATTATTTTATTTTATTTTTCCCCCACCCCTCCCCCAATATGATTATTTGAATAACCATTCCATGTACCACTTGTATAACAAAAAGAAGGAAATGAAATGAGAAAATACAAAATCTGTATGGCAATATTATAGATTTGGATTCTACCCCCAAAGTACATAGAAAAAGTACTATAAGGATTTATGAAAAATGTTAATGATGATCGTCCCTGACTGAGAAGTTGGTGATTTTTATTCTTTACATTATACGCATGATTTCTCTGTTTCTCTGTATAGCAATTTATCATTCATGATAAGAAAAATATACAATGTTAACTTTGCAAAGGGGATGGGATACATTCCAAATCCACGCAACAAAAAAAATTTGGCATTAAAATTGTGGGGATGTTCTAAGCCATAGCTGACCAAGAGCTAGTCACGTGACTGTATAAATATGGCCCATGTTCATTTTCTCACCCTAAAAAGCAGTTCAGTATGCAGCAGGATCTCCTTTTGCTCCAGCACAAGCCAGGGTGACTGCACAATTCAGAGCGCACAAATCACACACTTAGCAGCCTTGCCAATGTGTCAGACATGAGCAGCCCAAGTGATGCCCAGATACAAGAAAATGGGGCACTTATTTGCTGCTGAAAGCCCACTTCACAATGTGGTGCATTAAGACCTCCAAGAACAAGGCATTTGTTTCTGGCAGCTTCAAGGCGAATGGTACTGTGATCCACATCTCCTACTTAGAAGATCTGTCCTCCCAAAGGCATGAGAATTGGGAGGTGGTGGTGAAAAGTCAGGTGAGGAGAAGTGGAGGAATGAAGCAAGGGGCAAAAGAGGAAGGAATTCCCAGAAGGACGGCTTTTCTTCCCCGACAGTGTTACAGAGAAGAAATAGGATGTGCTGACATCGTCGAGGGATGAAGCTAAAGCTGTCAGAGCAACATGTTATTATGGCAGAATAGTTGCCCAATTTGCTAATTCTAATAAAAGCTGTCATTTGTGGACCATTATTAGAAGCCTAATACTGTGTTAAACACTCTCCATGCTGTGATTTATTTAATCCTCATCAGAGCCCCATCAGGAAGATACTGTTTCCCCAGTTTACAAATAAAGAAACTGAGGCACCATCTTTCTTTGTAAGATTGAACTCTAAGGGATATACTCATACTAATTTTTTTTTTTTTTTTTGCTTATCTGAAGTTCAAACTTAACTGGGTGTTCTGTACTTTTTTACTTGCTAAATCTGGCAATCCTATTTGTTGCTTAAGAAATACTAGTTATGATCGGGTGTGGTGGCTCATGCCTGTAATCCTAGCACTTTGGGAGGCAAAGGTGGGCAGATTGCTTGAGCCTGGGAGTTTGAGATCAGCCTAGGCAACACGACAAAACGACGTCTCTATAAAAAATACAAAAATTCGCTGGGCGTGTTCACATGCAACTGTGGTCCTAGCTACTCTGGAGGCTGAGATGAGAGAATCACCTGAGCCCAGGAAGTCGACACTGCAGTGAGCCATGATCACACCACTGCACTCCAGCCTAGGCGACAGAGTGAGACCCTATCTCAATTAAAAATAAAAGAAGAAGAGAGGAAGGGAAGAAAAGGGAAAGGAAGGGAGGGAGGAAGGGAAGGAAGAAGGGAAGGAAGGAATGAAAGAAGGAAGGAAGGAAGGAAGGAAAGAAAGAAGGAAGGAAAAAAGGGAGGAAGGGAAGGAAGGAAGGAGGGAGGGAAGGGAGGAAGGGAGGAAGGGTTATGTACCCACTGCCTGGGAATCCCCGTCCTTGGTCATGTGACTGGCATCAGAATGGGGATTGGGCCCAAGGTTGTCTAATTCCAAACCCTACCTTGTGCAGGACAGAGGAAGATGCAAAGAAGGCAACCAAGTTTCTGCCTTCAAAAAGATATGTTAAAACAAGTATAAAAAAATGTACACTGGATCTGATAAGGAAAGCCCACTAAGGCATGTGGCCGGCAGACATGATTTGTTTGCCTGATCTTGTCTCCTTAAATAATTGAATTAGGCCAGGCGCGGTGGCTCACGCCTGTAATCCCAGCACTTTGGGAGGCCAAGGCGGGTGGATCACAATGTCAGGAGATCAAGACCATCCTGACTAACACGGTGAAGCCCCGTCTCTACTGAAAATACAAAACAATTAGCCGGGCGTGGTGGCCGGCGACTGTAGTCCCAGCTACTTGGGAGACTAAGGCAGGAGAATGTCATGAACCCGGGAGGCGGAGCTTGCAGTGAGCCGAGATCGCACCATTGCACTCCAGCCTAGGTGAAAATGAGAGACTCCGTCTAAAAAATAAATTAATTAATTAATTAATTAAAAGCCTGCATGTAGGGCATGCCATTCCAGCTCCACAGATCCTTTAGCCCTTTTTTACTCATATCCTTGGCCTGCATGACACGCGTAGGGAAGGGAGTTCTCATGGAACTTCTGTAGGGATAGGAGTTCTCTGTTTCAGTGCTATGGAGAATGACAGGTGTCATCAAGTTGTGTAAAGTGCTGGGGCAGTACAAAGCTGAGAAAGGTAGTTTCCAGCTGGAGACTCCATAGAGGCAGCAAAAGGAAAGGAGCATTTCAATGTATCTCCTTACCATTTTATTTTCCTGAATATTGATAGAAATGTGCACTATGTAGGTAGATAAGATTTGTTCATTTGCCCTAATGTTTGTTGAGCAGCTACTATGTGCCAGGCACTGTTCTGGGTGCCGGTGGTACAGTGATGAACAAGGGAGATAGAATCCCTACCTTCAACAATTTTACACTCTAGTGAGACAAGACAGATAGTTATTTGATAAATAATCAACCAATTGTCAGGTAGTAAAAAGTATTATGAAGAAAAATAAAGCAGCAGAGAGGAGATAGAGAATGGTTCTGAGGACAGCATTTTTAGGTAGGTTTTACATAAGCCTCTCTAAGGTTGGGATGCAAATGCAAGAGAAAAGTAAAGCGAATTACATGAAAAAGAGGGTAAAGGGCTTTCCTGGCAGAAGACACAGCAAGTGCAAAGGCCCCAAGGCTTAGTGAGCTGAACGTGTACCTGGAGCCGTAGGGAAGCCACGTGGCAGGAGCACAGTGAGTGAGCAGGGAAAGGGTGGACAGGGAGGTCAGAAAGGTGGAGAAAGTGGAGAGGGCAAGTCATGAAGGGCCTTTTAGGACATGGTAAGGACAATGTGTCAGTGAGGTGAAATGCTAAAATAGAGATAATAGCACCTACTTCCAGAGTTATGATTGTTAAACAAATTTTTCATGTAAAATTCTTAGTTACATTGTAAGCTCTATGTATGTCACTAATCTTGTTATTCAATGTTCAATAAATGCTTTTATGGAATGAGCTAAATTAAGGTATACGCTATAGATTTAAGAGCCCACTGTCAGGGAAATCCATTTGTCCCAGCATAATGTATGTTTTTGTTTTGAAATATGAGCTCTGCCTTCAAATGACAAGGGATTTATGCATGGCAACTCTTTATGTGAGCCAGCTTCTGTAGCAATTCTCTCCAACCTTACCTCTTCCTCTCCCCACTGCCCCCAGGAAAACTCCCTTATGAGCTTGCTTTTCACTATAATTCTGACTTAATCTGGTTGCCCACTGCAGATAAAACTGTGAAGCTGTGGAAAGTCAGCGAGCGTGATAAGAGGCCAGAAGGCTACAATCTGAAAGATGAGGAGGGTCGGCTCCGAGATCCTGCCACCATCACAACCCTGAGGGTGAGTGCACACGGTTGCCCTGGCCACCACAGTCAGGGGCAGGTCTCCTAAGGTTGGCCACGTGCTGGTTGTTACCGTAGGTTGCAACTATAATGGGCCAGTGAGGGAACGTAGGCAGAGACTCAGCCTACCCTAGTCTCTCTCTGGTGGCAGATGGAGAAGCAGGAAAGGTGCCAAGCCTTCTAATGACTACAAATCCATGCTTTTCCTTTTGTCCCAGAAGACTTGCCCACATGGCCACTGCCAGACGTTACTATAATCTTAGCCTCTGTTGTTCACATTATCTAAAATGTCTTGAGCACCTTCTGTACTCAAGGTACAGGGATGAGAACCCAGATGGCGAGTTGCAGTCTTGTGATTCAGAACACAAACTTAATAATCTAACAGACCTGGCTTCAAATTCTGCCACTTACCCAAATTTCTCAATAGTCACTTAACCTTTTTGAGCTTTCACCATGCAAGTTAATTTTAGTTTCTCCATCTGTAAAACGGTGAACACAGTACCTACTGCTCATGGACTTATGAGGAAGAAATGAAAGAAGGATGGAAAACCCTTCCTCTATGGCTGGTCCTCAATATATGATCTCTACTCTTTGTCTGAGAGGCTTCCTTCCTGTTCTTCAGAAATACATAGTCTGATAAAGAGGAGTTGTAAGACTAATATACAAATGATTATGGCACTAAATATAGTAAGATAAATGCATTGAGAGTGTGTTGGAGAGTTGTAGTTTGATCAAAGGAGGAAGAAATTACCTGTGGTTGTTGGAGACCAGAAAAGTTCAAATAGGAAAGTGGCATTAAAAACGGGTTTCTCAAAGGGAACTTTTAAGGGAAGGGTCTCTAGATGTAAGGTAAAGTGAGTTAGGACTGGATGATGAACTCAGTTATGAACACGTTCAATGTGAGCAGTAAAGCAGGCACATGTTGGGATAGCCCTAGCCCCAACGGGCTTGTAAAACTGTGTAAAATATGTGATTTCAGACACCAGCAACTCTGCTAAAGACCAAAAGCAAGAAGGGAGACAGTGAAGCAGATGTGAGGAAAAGAGGTTCTTGTCCTATGTTTGAAAGTCAAAATGAGATGGTCATTGTATGCTTGATTAGCTCACTTGTTTATTTGTTTAATAATTCATTTATTCATACATCTGCTTATTCAGCAGTTACTTTTTGAATATAGACTCTCTGCTGACCACCGTGCTAGGCTATTAGGTGTTTACCCTGTACTAATGGGTACATGGTCTTCAGTTGAGCTGCTTCTGAGCTCACAAGCATTGGTGACTCTCTTTCCTCTCATCAGCCTATGCCTTCAACTCTGAAGAACCTCCATTCAAGTCCACTTTATCAGACTGGGTGGACTTGGCATAAACCCAACCTTGATGCTCTGAATGTGCAGGGGTTTTGGAGGCTGGAAAGTAGAGTAGTGAAGAGTATTATTGTTGAGTCAGTCCAGTCTGGGTTAGAATTCTGGCTCCATTACTTTCCAATAGTGAGCTTGGGCATATTACAGTCATGTATCATTTAATGATGGGAATATATTCTGAGAAATGCATTGTTGGGTGACTTCATTGTTGTGAAAACATCACAGAGTATGCTTATGCAAACCTAGATGGTATAGCTTACTACAGACCTAGACTACGTTGTATAGCCTGTTGCTCCTCAGCTACAAACCTGTACACATGTTCCTGTGTTGAATACTGCAAGCAATTATAACACAATGGTATTTGTGTATATAAACACATCTAAACATGGAAAAGGCACAGTACAAATATGGTATTATAATCCTATGGAACCAATGTTATTGACCAAAACATCATGTGACATGTGGCTATATTTGAACACCTTGTGCCTCCAAAGTCTCATCTGTATAACAGGGATGATGATAGTCATTGCTTCCTGGAATTGTTGTGAGGATTCAATAAGTTATTTTGTGTAAGAAAGAGCTTAACCTGTGTAGTGCTGGCTCACAAAAAAGCACTCAATAATGTTAGTTTCCTGCTGTTGTTTTAGTATTAATAACATCATCATCACCATGGCTATTACTACCCCCTATTGATAGTGGGCTTATTAATATGAGACAATTCAGTTGTTTTTCTTTTTATACTTTTTATACTGTTGTATTTATTCTACAAACTACTCACCAATATTTACTAAGTGGCAAACACCGTACTGGCAATATAGCAGGAATAAGACTGTCTTTTGCCCCTTGAGACATGGTAATCTTATGGGGAAAACAACTGGATTAAGTGCCACTTAGAGTTTATACCAAGAACTTAATGCCCAGACTTTACCTTGCCCTTATTTGCTATGTGGATGGAATTTCTCAGATGCCATCTGTAAACCCACTGTGGAATCCTACTGTCCATGGCATCCTATGAGATTTCATATATCTGTGCTTAACCCTGGGAGAATTCCATCCCTATGATAAAAGGCAGAGAAGGCCTATTCAGTTTCCACGAGAGCAGAGATCCTCCCCATGCCAAGCCAGTGATGCCAATGAAGTGGACTTCAGATGAAACAGAGAAGGAGGCCCTGAGGTGTGGCTGGGAGTTGGAAAATTCCAGCTCTGGTTCTCGCTTTCTTACTAACCAGCTGTGTAAACTAACTGATGAATCATCCTTCTACCCTCTAAGCTTAGTTTCTAAGCTGCCAAGCAGAGGACCAGGAAATGCAGATTCCCGAGACCCATTCCAGAGAGGAGGTCCAAAGGAATCTGCATTTTCAACACTTGCCCCTGGTGGCTGAGACAAGGGTGGTCTGCTGTCACTGGACTCCAGCATCCCTAAGACACATTCGAGCTATCATTTTTATGAACCTTTGTTATTTTCTAGAGACATGTTAGACATGTTATTTATTAGAGACATGTTCTATTTGCTATATGATTATAAATATCAGTATCTGTATTTACCTCCTCTCCTTTCCTAGGTTCTCAAATATCCTGCATTTCAGTGTAAACATCCACACCACAGCACTCTTTAAACACTGAAAAGTCCAGCTTCCTTTTATTTTTGATCCCAGTGGTAGAAGAAAAAAAAAAAAAGCAGGCAACCCTGAAGACTAGATTCAGAACAATGACTCCAAACAGAGAATGAGCTGACGTGATATTAATCAGACTATAATTTACCTCTTGAAATATGCATTGCCAGCAATTGTGTCTTTTTTTCCCTTCCTTCCCTGTACTATGATTACTTCTTGCTCACTTTCATAGTTTCCAGTTCTATGTGGGTATTGAGAGTGAGAGCATTTAATAATGCCCGACAGCTAATTAATCCTCACTGTGTAATGTACCTGTTCTGTTTCAGTGCTGAGAGACTCAGCTTTTCAAAGCAAGAATGTGACTGTATCTTTCATGTAAGATAGCCTTTCAAAATCAATCTTGTTACCAAAAGAGCCTATGAGAAGCATGTCTATAAAAACTATATCCCCTGCTCAATATCATAACATAAAGCAATAATCATGGTGATAATTTAATAATAACACCTTACAGTTGTAAAGTACCATTTATATTGCAAAGCATTTTCTTACCTAGTCCCTTGATTCATCTTCAGAATAGCCAATGAGGAGGGCAGGATAGGTATTTAGCAGGTGAAAATGCTGGTCTGTAGCATTTATTGATCATTTGTCATATCCCATGCACCATGCTGCACTCTCTATCTGCATTAGCTATCTCAAAGGGTGTTAAAAAGCTCGTTTAACAGATGAGGCTCCAAGCAGTTAAGTAGCATACCCAAGATCATGCAGGGCTGAGAACCAAGCCTTAATCTACTTTGGTCTGGGATCTGAGCCCTTCAGTCCGATGCAGCCTCAGAGAGGGAAAATGACTTACCCAGTATCCCTCAACTGGTTATTCCAGGACTGGGACTAAAAATCAAGAGTTAGGGCTCTTAGACATATACAATTGGGCATTTGAAATGTTTGTCTTAATAATTAGTGCCATTATTATTCCAGGTCAGGGGATCAATTGATTGATATCTATCTATCTCTCTCTCTTTCTCCCTCCCTTCCTCTCCTTCTCTTCCTCTCCCTCCCTCCCACCATGACTCCCCCCTACCACTGTCCCCTCCCCCACCACACACACATACACACACTTACACATTGGCTTTCCAGATCTCTGACCTCAGCAGTGGAGAAACAAAGGGCTTGAGGTCTCTATGCAGTTTTACTTCACAAGACCCTCCATGCCATTCTTCCCCAATCTCCCACTGCCCAGGAGTAACAGACCCTCAGAGCTCTTTCTAGGTAATGGGAACTCACCGTTAAAGTGACTTAATCAGCCTGAAATGGAAGTTGGGTGGTGAGAAATCACACTTAGCATACTTCTCCCTAAAGGATGAGACTGCAGGTATTATTTTTCTCATTATTATCAGCTGCCAGTGCCCTGGGAACCTAGGCCAGGTTGAAATAGGCATTTTTACCTATTATAAATATAGAGTCTAGAAGTTATGAGCTCCCAGGCTGTGACTTGTCATAACCTTCCCAAAATGAAGGTGATGTGATGAATTCAATTTTTCTAATGAATTTTATTCAAACATGCCTTACATCAAATAAAAATAATTATAGCCACCATCTGTTGAGTGCTTCCTATGTGCCAGGTGCTAGATTTTATATCCTTAATATAGTCCTCATTATACCTCTCTTGGGTAGGTTCTATTATTCTCTCCAGATCATCTGAAGCCATAGCCTACTCTGCGTTTCAGTATCTGCTCAAGTACTACCTAACAGGCCCTCCTAGAGTATCCCTATGGAAAAGAGCACGTACACGTTTTCCATTCATTCTCTCTGCCCTTTTTTGCTTAGCTCTTGTCACTGTCTAGCATTTTCTTCACTGTCAGCCTCCTCTCCACCCCCAGTAAAATGTAAGCTCCATGAAAGCAGGGACTCTGTTTTGTTCTCTCCTGCAGCTCCGGCACCTGGAACAATCCATGGCACGTGGTAGGCATTCAGTAAATATCTGTCAAGTGAACAGATTACACAGAAATGGAAACCAAGTTTTAGAGTAGCCAA